GAAAAAAAAAAAAAAAAAAAAAAAAAAAAAAAAAAAAAAAGATAATTTGAATCTTGCCATGAACTTTTTGAAGTACCCTTGTACTTAGTGATGTATTTGGTATTTTGTAGCATATAGAAAATGATATTAATAAAATTTCTTTTTCATGATGCTCTTAACTGCATGGCATAAAATTATTTCATTTTAAAATGAGTATAGCAATCTAGTAAAATATCTAGATATAATTCCAAGTTCATTCAAAGTACGTTTAAATCCTTGAACTTGTCTTCTTGAGGATTTTTGTGCATGCTGAGTATTCAGATACGATAATATGAAGCAGTTTATTACTCTGCAATTCACTGAGTTTATACATGGCTGGATAAATATACACATCCTATGTTCATGTTTTAAATCATATTAATCAGGTCCCTAAGATAACTTAATAATAAGGCCAAGACACTTTTTAAAATAACAGCTTTATTGAGAAATTCATATACCATATAATTCACTTATTGAACGTGAGCAATTAAATGGGTTTTTAGTATATTCACAGAGCTGTGCAATCACCACCATAATCAATTTTAGAACATTTTTATCACTCTGCAAAAACCTCTGTGCTGATTCATAGTCACCCCCCTTTCCCCACCTCTCCTTCCTTACCCCCAAGAGCTAGGCAACCACTAATCTCCTTTCTATCTCTATAGGTTTCCCATTCTGGAGGTCTCATGTAGATGGAGTCATACAATATGTGGTCTTTGTGACTGGCTTCTTTCACTTAGCATAATATTTTTATGGTTAATTCATGTTGTGGTATGTAGTGATATTTAATGTCTTTTCAATGCTGAATAATAGTTCATTGCACAAATATGCCACAGTTTGTTTATTTCTTCATCAGTTGGTGAACGTTTGGGTTGTTTCCACTTTTCTTCTCTTATGAATAATGCTGCTATAAACATTTGTGCACAAGTTATTGTGTGCACATATGCTTTCATTTCTTTGGGGTATATACCTGGGAGTGAAATTGCAGGGTGCTGAGGTAACATTTTGAGGAATTGTCATACTATTCTCCATAGTATTTGCACCATTTTACATGCTTACCAGCAAGGTGTTCTGATTTCTTCACATCCTCGCTGACAGTTATTATTATCAGTCTTTGATTATAGCCAGCCTAGTGGGCATGAAGTAATATCTTATTGTAGTTTTGATTTGCATTTCCCTGATGACTAATGATGTTGAACATCTTTTCCTGTGCCTTTTTTTTTTTTTTTTTTGCCATTTATATGTTTTCCGTGGGGAAATATTTATTCAGATCCTTTGCCAATTTTTTAATTGGTTATCTTTTTACTATTGAGGTGTAGAAATTATTTATATATTTTAGATGTTGGATATATGATTTGTATATATATATTTTTTCCTTTCTGTGGGCTTTTAACTTTCTTGCTGGTGTCTTGCAGCACAAAAGGTTTTAATTTTAAGGAGGTCCAATTTATCTATTTTTTTTCTTTCATTGCTTGTGCTTTTGGCATGAGGGTCAAGACTATTTGATGAAGTCTTTTGACCTGACTTTTCACATTCTTAGTAGTAGCAATAGTAGTAGTGGTGGTGGTAGTACTCATAAGAGAAGTGCATCTTTAAAGTGCTTTCCAGATATCTAAAGTTAATAGTACTTGATAAACTTAATATGTCCTGACAACATACCTGAAGTGTTCTTGGGAAAATAAATTATTTCTTCAGTGTCTTAAAGGGAAGAGAAAAGGATCCCAAAATGTCATGAACTTTTCATTACCATAGAAAATGATTGGTACTTTCAATATTTATTCAATCAATAAATATCTATTGAGCATCAACTGTTTGCTTGGCATTACTTTAGACATTTGGGGTACAGCAGTGAACAGCACTGTTGTTGCCTCCAAATGCCTTGTAAAAGTTGAATGCTGGTTTTCTGGAGAAAAAAAAACTTTATATTGCAATATATCACAGTTGGCAGGGAAAAAAGTGTTGCCTCTTGGGTTT